AGGCAAGCACTCTACCACTGAGCCACCTTCCCAGCCCCCAGTGGGTTTTTTTTGTTTGGGAAAGTTATGATTCTTGGTATCCACTGCAAACTGAAGTTTGTTCTGCAACCTCAGTTCTCCTACTGATCTAACAATAGTTGTTTCTTTGTTTTCCCTCCCTCCCTCCCGCCCCCCTCCCACCCCTTCTTTCCTTCCTTCCCACCTTCCTTCCTTCCTTTTCTCCCTCCCTCCCTTTTCTTTTTTCTTTTCTTTTCTTTCTGTGCTGGTACTGGGGCTTGAACTAGGCCCTGATCATTCTTAGTTTTTGTTGCTTAATTAAGTGTGGTGCTGTACCACTTGAGCATACTAAGTCAAGATAAGAGTCTCATAGACTTTCTTGTCAAGCTGGCTTTGAACTGGAATTCTCAAATCTCAGCCTCCTGAGTATCTGCGATTACAAGCCTGAGCACTAACACCCAGCTTTACTTAACTTTTAACTTTTCAGGATAGAGTTGCAACTTCTAAGCTACTTCCATGTAAAACTGTAAATCAAAATTCAGTAGGACACTGTTTTGGGAACCCAGACCCAAAATAGGTGGGGCAGAAAATTCATAAGGCCATTGTGGACAACAGGCTGGTAGATACAGTTCTTCCAGGCACTACTAGTAGAAATTTCATCACATGTCTCTTCTCTTAGCTTCGTTCCAGGGAAATAACAGTAACTTGCTGCTCAGATCTGAGCGATGACACAGGACTGTCTCAGAAAGCAACATACCTAATCAAACCAAAGATGCTGCTCATCGTTTATTTCATTGTTATAACAACCACAAGAACAACTTAGCCCAGCCTCTGAGATAAATTCTCTATCCAACTTCCAATCCTCATTTTTACTTGCTACAGCATTGACATATTTGTATATGACAGTCACTTTTTTGTTTTGCAGTAGCTCAAAACAAAACAAAGCAAACCACACTAACTAAGCCACTGTGAGGGCCACATTGTTTCCACGCAAGTGAACCACAGACCATTTAATCATGTTTACATTCAGCTCTTTGTTATTCTAATAAAGAAATCTTAAGTTCCCAAGGTAGCAGTACCTCATGACGATGGCATGTAAAGGATTCACAACATATCTAAAATGAAAAAGTCCTGGCTCCATTAATGACAAGCTAGGTTATTCAGATGGTGAACCTTCTGCCACAAACAACTATAAGATATTAAAAAGAAACAAAAGAGCTTAACACTGAACACCAGTGGCTTGCATCTGTAATCCTAGCTACTCAGGAGGCTGAGATCTGAGGATCGAGGTTTGAAGCTAGCTGGGGCAAGAAAAGTCCATGGGATTCTTATCTCCTTAACTACCTGAAAATCAGAAGTAGAGCTGTGGCTCAAATGGTAGAGTACCAGCCTTGAGCTAAAAAGCTAAGGAAAGTGCTAGTACCAGCAGGTGCGTATGTGCATGCATA